AAAAAAAAAAAAAAAGCAGTCCCCTCTTTACATGTGTTTTCGTTTATTTCCGAGACAGAAATGTATATAATCTAGAACAATACAAAAAACCTTGCACATTGGTTAAAATGTTTGTTTCAGAAAAATTAACAGATACCTAGAAGATTAACTAAAATCAGAAGTAGCAATCTATATAGAAGTCTTAATTTTTTTTTATTTTTCTAATTCAGTTTTAGCAAATGAGTTTAGTAGTAGGAATTACTGAAAATTTTAGCAAATGTCAGAACCCCCTTGAAAGGGGGATGTTTTACTCATTAACAGGAGCTCTGGCCCCAGGCAACTTACCCAGTAAGGAAACAAACTATACTGTAACTGTGTTTTCTTCTGTGCCTGCACAGACATCTCTATAGGGAAAGGTCAAAGATGAAGTTTCTAGCCACTAGGTATTTTGTGTTCTGACATCCATTCAGCAGATCCAGACCACTCACAGGCATAAGAGCCCTTCCACACTCCTCGGCCTTCCCCTGCAAGCTGCAGAACGATTAAGCGTAACCTGTAAGCGTTACTCCTGTTGAGTAACGTTCACAAACGTAGTCTGTTCCGTCAGGAGTTAAACACTATGTCCTTAAAAAGCGACAGTCCCCAGCACTGACCCTCCTCGTGCCAGCTGCCTGCAGCTGCGGCGAGGAGGGTGCCTGGCATTTTGTTTCAGCCGTGGTGCTGGCCTGGGCAGCAGCTGTACCTCTCCGAGGCACAGGCACGCTACTGCGTGCTCTGGAGAGTGTGCAGAGCCAGGAGGGCTGGCCGGGAGGCTGACTGCTGCATGGCTCGCTTCGTGACGGTGCTGCACTTCTGAAGAATCTCATGGGCTGAGGGACGCACAGGCACCTTGGGGACGCAGGCAGCCAAGTCTGAGTCAGCGAGGGAGTAACTTAAATCAACTGCAGATGACTCCACAAAGCCGGAATCATTCCTGTCTTTGTGGGTGAGGTGTGGGGATTTGCTGCTGTGTGTGGCCAAGGCCTTCCCCAGGGAAGAGCTCCTGGCCTGCTCAACTTCAGGCAGAGACCTTGATAAGTCAGGCTTCCAGTCCGGCCTGCCGTCCCGCTCGCTCCCGCTCCCCGAGCTGAGAGATGAGCTATCGGTCTCCAAATCTGGAGTGGAACTGGCCCTGGGCAGAGATCTTGATCTGCTTCTCAAAGAAGTTCCTTCTTCAGTCTGGCCAAGGGGAGGGCAAGTCTGAACCACACTCTCTCCTGCCGCCTCATCCAGGGCCTGAAGAGCCCCCACGGAGGAGGAGAGGTTAGGGGTGGAGGCGTTGAGCCCGCAGCTCACAATGGTCTGGAGCCTGCTGTGAGGATTCTTGTAGGGCTGGAGGCAAATGGAGGGGATGTAGCCAGTACGTCCATTGTACCTGAGAGGGGCAGGATGGAAAGCAACACTGAAAAGAAGAGCCCTTCTCCCACCTGAGACTCAAGAGGAAGGAGGAGTGCACTCAAGGTGGTGGATGTTGGCGAGGATTCAGCCCACAACTGCATACAGGACATAAAGAAGGGGAAACTGTCCCTAGCCAAGGGTCAGTCAACTCGGTGAGAGCTTCTCTGCACACTGCTTGGGGAGGAACAGGCAAAGAGCACCTGCAGCAGGTAACGTGCTCTCGGGGAACACTGAATGACAGCTTCAGGAAACCTCCTTACCGGGTCAGCCACCAGCCATCGTCAGATTTCCTAACCACCTCCACGATGACCCCGTTGTTCAGAGAGAGCTCGTCTGCCTTCTGAGATTCATAGGCTCGCACAGCAAAATACAAGCTGCCTGGAGAAAGAAGGGGGAGATATTTCTGCTTTGTGGAGAAAAAATCACGGCAAAGTGTGGAAGGAAAATAGACCAGAACGTTGCCTGTCTGCTGAGTGTGCAAGCACAGCCTGAGGTCTGGGGAGGCTTTGATAGACAAGAAATCAGCAGATAGGCTACATGCTGGCCCTCTGACAGGTGAGTGTCAGCACTGTGAACACGGCTCCCTTCCCAGGACAGAGATGGAGAGAGAGCATGCAGCCCTGAGAGGTTACAAGGGGCAGCATCCTCCAGCAACGCAGGAAGTTCCCAGTTCTGCACCTGTAAGCTAGTGTGACCTGTAAGACGGGAAAGAAACAGGTAACTCTCAGCTACAGGGAAACTAAGTGTGCAGAGCACACTGGTACATGTGTAACTATTAGTTACACGAGTAATAAGTTAATAAAGAAAAATTAACTAAGTTAATAGTTAAAGCTAATAGTTACACAAATAACTATTACAAGATGCCCCCACCTCTGTGAAAGATCAGGTCAGCAGGCGTGGGGTGCAGCAGAGCTGCACAGTAGCACTGTCCCAGTAAGTGATTTATTTGCTCAGCCACCCACAGCCGGTGGCAGAGATGACTAAAAAAATCAGAGCTACAGAAATCCAGGCAGGGGCTTCAGCCAATGGTTAAAGTGTATTTTTGCAGCTCCTCCCCTCCTCCCCCCTTTTTTTAAAGGGAGGAACATGGTGTAGTTGGGAGCACAGAACAGCGAGGGAAGCTTTGGGTCACAGTAGCCATAAGTAGACTTACCCTCTTTCTTCGAGCTCAAGGCATTCTGGATGTCCTTGTGGGTGTCAATCTCTTCCAGGTACGGGGCTGGGAACCAGGCTATCTGCTTGTCTGCATTTTCCACTAGCCACCACCCTGCAGCAAACAGCAAAAGGAAGTTTTTAAGAACCTGCAAGAGGTAGACCTAAGTATCACAGGAGAAATGACCGTAAACCCTGGGTAAGGGCTGCCCCAGCCATGAAAAGGAGACAGGAGAGAAGTTCTGCAGACCAGTTCAGCGACTGTCAAATGTCATACTGACACTTTGGCAGAGCTCCATCGAGACCAGTGTTTTCCACCAGGCAAGTGTGTTGGGGTCCACAAAGCAAAATCTGAGAAGCTTTCAGCTTGGGCTGGGAATAAGGCCTCAAGTCTCAGCTCAAACTCCTGCCCTGTTTCTGCTAGAAAAAGCCCCAGCACTTATTCTTTCATCCTTGATAAAGCCAGGTAAGTGCATTACATGCACAAACACACAGCCAAACCAGTGATGCTACAAATGCTGTTATAAACATACCATTTGCCAAGCTATGGATCAAGCTAGAAATCTTTTAACATCCGTCCCTGAAACTGAAACAGAAGAATCCCAGTTAAACATACCGGTCATGTCCTTGATTAGCACTTCAACAATTTCCTTCTTAGCAACTTTGAAAGTCTTGTTTTTTGTGTCTTTGGTTTCAAAGGTTTCAATGCATCTGTAGCTCTGAGATGCCTGTGGGTGCGTAATAGAGGAGAGAGGTTGCTGTGGCTGTTTTTTCCTTTCTCCTCCAATTTCTGATGGCATGATCACAACACTGAAAAATAAAGTTAAGCACTGGTTTACTAAAAAGCCACCTGGAAGGTTGGGTTTGTTATTTATTTTGGGGAAAGTCATGTCTATGCAATAGACTAAAAAAAGGCACCCAAAAGCAGCACCCAAAGGTCTCAAAGCAATCACCAGACCATCCCTCCTCTGCTGCCTAAATATGCCAGCAAAGTCAGAAAAATAAGAAAATGCTGAGTGTGACACACTGATCATCAAGAAAGAAACAGAATAAAAGAAAAAAGTGCAAGGAACAAGGGCAACAGTTATTAGAAAGCTGAGTTACTTAATGGCATCCTTCCCATTTGCCAGCACTTCCCTTTTTCCTCGTTCCTAATTACTTCAGTGCTAAAAAATGGCAAACATTCTCAAAGCAAAAAAAAAAAAAAAAAAAGAGAGAGAAAGAGACAGCTTTTCCCCACCAGCCAAATGCAGCTGATATTTCTCTTCTATCCATCCATGAAACAGACATGTTACAGAGTAGAGATATACCAACAAGAAAAACACAGATTCATACCTGTTTTCAGGAAAGGAAGGATCTAGATCTTGGGTTTGTGCCTTGAAAAACTGAACCACACTTTCACTCTGGGAGATCTTAGCATCCATTTTCAGCAGCTCCTGGGAGTAAGTTTCCAGCAGTTTTAATCTCTCCAAGGACCTGTTCAACTTCCCGCTCTTTCTCTGCTTCACACTTGCGTCTTTAAAATAAGAAAGGCCAAGTCGGTATGAGAGAACGGATCTGGATGCCTTGAGAGCAGCACTTTCTGCCTCTACGTGCTGGTGCCCTCACCTAGCGCCCATCTTTGCACAGGCCCAAATTGCCAGGAGCAGAGACAGTGGCTGTCAATATTTGTGCCTTCCTATCATTTTAAAGAGCTCCTGATACAGTTTTTGAATATCTAAAGTTTGTCTTTGTTCACAAGTCAATGTTCCAAGGTGCCTGGGCCAATATTTAAACTGTTATGTGTTCGTTTACCGAGTGTATTTATCTATTAAAAAAAAGTCTTTCTAGATCATTTTAAGTCAACAATAGACCCCAGTGCTTTGATATGATCCAGTTACACTGTGTAACAAGCAGAAGCTATTTGTTAATCTGCTTCAGAGAAGGTCAGACTCAGCGACTGAAATCTACGTCGTTAGTTATGACTGGCCTGAACAGCTTTATCATGTTTCTTGGTCTTTGATGTCCATGGAAGATTTGGCCTCCTTACCTTTAAACTTGGGTATAGTCCGGTCAGATCTCCTCAGCGAACCACTCTCAATGGGGAATTTTCTCTTCAGGTCTTTCTGAAAGTGAGACAGAAAGAGAGAATAATGGCGCTTTGAAGCCCCTTCACATGGCTGAGCTCTTTCCCTGCCTGCCTGCCTCCCTCCCTCCCTAGGAGGTGAATATTATTTTCAGGCAGTTCTTCGCTTACATGGAATCTCTTAAATTCTTCAACTGTCCGGTAGATGAGAATGTTGTTTCTGTCTGACCAGGACACAAACATCATGTAGTTCTGAACAAAAAAAGAGAAAAGAAATGCATTTTTAGTCATGCTGTTCAATATCGGATGCTTTCAAGCAACCAGCATTCGGCTAAGTTCTGGTTTCAGGCTGCAAGACTGGCACATTAAAAACAAAATTTTAAACTAGATCTACACAAAATATTTCCTTAATTTTAGGGCCACAGGTGATCATTGTTGAAATGAGAAGAAAGTTAAGAAATTGTCCACAGAAAGACAGCAGAATCCAAGACGATCATTTTCTTATGATATTGACCATTGAAAAACAAATCTAAAAGAGCCCTTGCCTAGATAATAACACCCTCATTCCAGCACTGCAATAGAAAGGAGAAACATACCCCTGTAAGAGTAACTGAAAAAGCCCTGTAGTTTCCTAATTGGTAAACAGTGCTTAAGGGAAAAAAAAACATCAGGTTAAAGTACCTTCTGCTTTTGGCATTGCATCACGCCTACAGCCTTCACATCCACTGGGTACCTGCTGCAGTTCATCTTCCCAGAGGCCAGACGCTCTCTCACCGTAGGCAGCTGGGAGTCCTGCAGAGAGGTGGCTCCGGGCACGGCCTCCTGGAGGCTAAATAGACTGGAGCGGGAGGGAGAGCAGTAGGCGTTCCCAAACAGTTCGGTGTAAAATTGCCTTCCTTGTTTCCTCCTCCACCCAGAAATGCACAAGGAGAAATTCCATAATTTGGCAAACTATCACATGCCTCTTATTTGCTCTCCTGCTTTTAGGATGCAATTAACGCTGACCGTAGATGCCAGGGGCATAGTTCAGAAAGTTGGGAAAGGACAGGCATCTTCTGTTATCTGGTCCTTAGTAGAACAATGCCAGAGTGACTCTTCCCTGCAGCTGGGTCAATTTGTCATCTCCGGGAGACAGAGGAACTCGCTGGTGCAGTGCAGGCTATGGTTGGTGCAGCTGAGCAAAACACGGGGTGCAAGGGAACACGAGTGCTCTCAATAGAAATGGTTCCTCCTTACAGTGCCTTCATCGAAAATGCTGCAGTTTAACCAGCAGAAAGCTGGGCGGCCTCAGCAGGTGAGAGGATAGCGGTGGTTCCTCTGTCCATCCGCTTACCAGCATCGTCTGCCGCCACGGCAGCTGGGGCTGCAATTCACACCGATTCCAAAAACTGATCATAAACATGGCTTGTTGTAAACCACAAATCAGATGCGACTTCTGTGTGTGCCAGCTGTTTGTTACAAATCCCTTTTCTCTAATGCTTTGTGCCATCTGCTTAGTAAAAGGTACTTCACTTTAAAGAGATTTCTTGCAGCTACATCAACATTTGCACGCTCTCAGAAAGAAACGCGAGATGTCGGTGCCATCACTGCCCGAGCGAAAGATGAACAAATCCCCTGGGCTGTCACTGAAAAAGTCCCAAAGCTTCTGATTTGTAAAGATACCACAGAGACCCAAGTAATCTGTGCGCTCTGTCCTGCATCAATCTGGGGCTTTCATATCAACCTCAAGATGATAACAGTTCTTCAGTGGGAGGGGGAGAACCCACCCCTTGATCTGACAAAAGAAGAATCATGAAATCACTGCATGAAATCATGAAGAAAGCAGGAGCTAGGGGCCCAATGCAGATAATCTCGGCAGCCAGAACAGCTTCAAAGGCACAGCCTACCAGAAATGTGGCAGTGCAGGAATGGCTTTACAAGGTGATGGCACACAGGTCGCAGCCCCGCAAGCTCACAGCCTCCGGCCAACAGGCCGGAACATGCCAGCACGAGGCTGCAGGGCGCCCGCTCTGCTCGCGGCGCTGCCTAAGCCCGAGGACGCAGCTATCTGAAGAGGCTCTGCACAGTGGGCATAAAAAAGAACAAGGAGATGGATTTGCTTCGTTTAAGTCGGCTATCCCCTTGCTGCCTTGCGGCACTGCATGACCAGTGATTACAGCTCTGGAAAGCCAGCCCTTTCACTAATCTGCTGACCTTTACCACGTCTGAAGTTATGACTTGGCTGATGGGCATCTGTGTGTGATCAAACCTCCTTCTCCGTCCTCCCTCCCCCTCTTTTTTGAGGAAGCCTAAATGCAATCAGCATCATTGCTGGCCAAATTGTGAATCTCAGGCCTTCCCTTTCGTTTTCTAAGTACAAGAAACTTCTTAAAACCCTCAGCAAGAAGTGTGGGTGATTTTTCACCGGCAGAGAAGAAAAACCAGAATCCCAACAGGAAGCCAAGCAAATTACTTCTGGCTAGCTAAAAAACACAACAATCAGGCGCTGCATTTGCTTTTCATGAAAACCTGCAGAGCACAGTGGAAGTTTCTCCGGAGGCAATTTCATTGCTCTTGGATCTATCGCTGCTGCATCTTCCCCTTGGGGAAGTTATTCACGGAGCAGTTCAGTCCCATGCCACAAGCTAGGTGGGAAAACCCCTTAACTGCCGTCTCCAGGACATTTCCTGGCTAACAAAGTCACACAGGAGCTGCCCTGCAGAGAGCCCATACGGAGCCAGCTCACTGCCCTCGACAACCCCTCACCTCAGTCAGGTCCTCCATCTTTCTGTTCACAAGGGGTCTAGCAAAAGCCACTAAAGCTACCCAGATCAAAAACAAGAATAGTTTTTTTTGAGAGAGGAAATCACTTCATCCAGAGAGTTTATTACCTATGATCTGTATGTTTATCTGTCCCTGAGGTGGAAAACTCCTGCTCAGACTCTGTCGTTTTGCCTGCAGTCATGTGCAGCTTCCTTGGAAGCCTCCTAAAGGAGGCCAAGCTCACCTTTACAAGGGTCTATTATGTAGCTCTCAGAACTAGCTGGAGCCAAGACACTAAGCAAAGCTGGTATCCTGCCTCAGAGCAAACACGGAACACAATGCATTTCCAAGAGTAGAAAGGTTTAAAAATAATTACACTGAACAGCAAAAGTCAAACAAAATTAAAACCTTCAGAAGACCTGAAATCTTTGGATGAATACAAGACTGCTGGAGAAAGTTCAACTAGCACTTCATACCACATCTGCAATAACTGCAAATGCCAGTAAAAATGAAAACATTAGGAAGTAGCCTTGTTTTTGACAATTGCTAATTCCAAACGCCTTGCCATATTTCACATTTTTCAGTGATTTCAAGCAGAAGTGCTCACTAGAGGAACATGGAAAAAATATAAGCAAATTTTACAACAAAAAGGTGAAAGTGCATGAAGGTTAGCAAGCTATGTGAGGCTGAGAATCCAAGTCATACAATTTGGAGAGCTAATTTCCTGGGAAGAGATTGACTGGAGACTGGGATCTCACACAAACCAAGATTAAGAGCAAAACTACTGGAAACTCAGTTCTTAAGAAAGCACATATTTCTGGTCTGATCACTTAGGGCTCACTTATCAGGCTCTGCAGTCCCATTACATAAGCAGCACTGGCTCATTGTTGTCAAACCTGCTGGGAAAAGAAGAAACGAGAAACTGCTCATTCAAGAGATTCATCTAATGAGTTATATTACCTTAATCTGAAGTGACCAGCTCTGAGGAACTGAAGTGCTGTGCCAGTTTGCCTCTGGACCAGCACAAACACTCCTCGATGACGTTATTGCACTTTGTTTGCAAAAGCCATACAGATTAGTGCCCCTTCTGCTGAGAAAGATGGATGACTGGTGAGAAGAGGCCATTAATTCCACTTATTTGCCAGATAATTTGAGCACACTTCAAAGTCATGCGTGCAAGCACACACACAAACAGTTTTACTGACAGTAAGTCAAGTTTATTTTGTTTCCTCTTCTACTTCCACATCATCCTGCCATAAACTGGTACATCCTTATGTGTGATTATTAACTTAAGGTTAGGAGAGGTCTGCCCGGAAGAAGCAAAAATCCAGCAAGTACTGCGGGGTGCTGTTATTTTATCATCGGTACATATTTACATAGTTTTTAATGTCAGCATTTGCTTTTTTCTTTAGTCATTTTAAAGGGCATAAAGGAGATTGTAAATTGACAAGAAATGTATAGGAGTTGACTGTCCAACTTCAACAATAAGAATAGAAATACAAGTTTTCCTTTCGAATATTTTTTGTCACTGCCAGTTTGTAGTTCGCTTCAAGAAACCCACGCCTTCCTCGCAGAGGTGGAGTTTTGCCTTCTACTGACTTGAGAGACGTTGCTACCAGCACAAAACAGCTGCTTTAAGTATATTAAGTGTTTTTCGTATCACAGAAAGGGGCAAATATAGTCATGGCTGCACTGTGGAGAAAGAGTAAAATTAGAGTATCTGCCCCAGGAGCTCACAGTCTGAAAAGACATGGTAGGTAACTGTCGGGGCGGGAAAAAGAGCAGAGGGCCACAGCAATTCAGTGACTCATCCAAAAGTATAGAAGTCTACAGCAGAGCTGCACATAAACCCAGGACCACCTAGACTTTCCCCTCCGATATTTCAATTACAAGGCCAACATCTCCACCCTGTGTAAAATGTCCATGACAAGTAAACACCACAGGTCTGATTTACTTATCATTTCAGTATGGAATAACTTTTAAACAGACCAGATTAAAAGGTGTACAAGCAGCCTAAGTGGGAGAAAAGCCTAGACCAATCCTTAACTACGTCCTAGAAGAACCAAAACTAGTGTTTCAGAGCCCAGGTGCCCAATGGTATCAAAAGGCAGCTCTTCACCAGCTGTAACAAAACACAGCTCCGCAGCAGGCATTTTCAAAGTGTAACAAGCAATGATCTTGTTATAAACGCACATGCAGAAGAAAGAGAAAGAATCATGCTATGAACATCCTTTACCACGTACAAAATTTAGGTCTGGGCTGTGTGGGACTCCAAATCATGCATTTCCCATTTCATGTATAGCACAGAAGGAATTGCCACTGGTTAGACTTACTCTTGCAAACCTACCAGGAAAAGACAACGACAGAAAAAGTCCCCAAACTACCCTTGAGATAGTACAGCTGCAAGGTAGAGATACCCGGAAGAATAGCCCTAGTTCACACTGTGGGCACAGCAAAGGGGGGCCCTCACTTGGAACGCTGCTGGTATGAGAGCTTAATCTTTTGCCACCATCACTTTCAGGATCAAAAACCTGTCCTTTACTGTTCTTGAAGGTCACCTGTGATAACACATGACCTATCAGCAACTTTAATGAAAAGCCCAGCTGCTAAAAGCTGATTTTAAAAGTACAAAGAGGTTTTAGACTCTTATTAAATACAGAAACAGGCCCTAATTTAAAAAAAAAAAAAAGTTGACAAAAATATCCTTCACCTTATAAACACGCTAAGCAGTTGAATTTTCACACAGGCTGGGATGAGAGATTTTGCGGTACCTAATCCAGAAGAATGTATTTTATTTCCTCCTAACTTCAGCAGCTGCTGCATGAAATAAGGCATTTTTCAGAAGCCAGCTGAATCTGATTCAGAAATGCTTTGAGCATACACAACAGTGCTGCTCTTCTCCATCCACAGAAACAGCCGCATCTCAAGAGCTTCCGAAGGGGTTTTCAAGGAAGGGCACTGTAGCAAATCATGCTGCAATGCACGTTCACCTGCGACGCAGGTGGTTCATTAACTA